CGAGTTCCAGCTAAAGAGCTATCCCTAAACCCTAAACCCTAAACCCTAAACCCTAAACCCTAAACCCTAAACCCTAAACCCTAAACCCTAAACCGGTTGTTTGCAGCCCTTGGACCCGAAGCCTCTACGCACCTCAGGAAACCCAGATCTTTCAAAAACCTGCAAGCAAAGCCGACATCCCCAAACCCCTAAAACCCCTACAAACCCCCATAAACCCCCCAAACCCCTACAGGGGCCCTACAGGCCTAAACATCCCTATAAAATCCCTATAAACCCCTACAAAACCCCTCATAAACACCCAACAAACCGTAAAGAAACCCTAAAGCCCCTAAGAAAACCCTAAACAACCCTAAACTTAAAGCTACAAACCCAACAAAAAAAACCAAAAACCCAAAATAAAGACCCTTTTGCCGGCCACAGGACCGTGGTCGGGGCGCCGGTGGCGGCAGAGCAGAGGTCGAAGCGGAGGCCCAGGGCCAGGGAGCGGGCCTCGATCCTCAGGGGTTTAGGGTTTAGGGTTTAGGGTTTCGGGTTTAGGGTTTAGGGTTTAGGGCTTCGATCCTCAGAGCGCAGCTGGGGGCTGTTTAAGGGGCTCCACTGGGGGGGGGGGGGGGGGGGGGGGGGTAGGGTTTAGGGTTAGGGTTTAGGGTTTAGGGTTTAGGGTTAGGGTTTAGGGTTTTGGGTTGGGGTTTGGGTTTAGGGTTTAGGTTTTAGGGTTTTAGGGTTAGGGTTTTAGGGTTTAGGGTTTAGGGGTTTAGGGTTTAGGGTTTAGGGTTTAGGGTTTAGGGTTTAGGGTTTAGGGTTTAGGGTTTAGGGTTTAGGGTTTAGGGTTTAGGGTTTAGGGTTTAGGGTTTAGGGTTTAGGGTTTAGGGTATCCCCATACCCCAAAAGGCACACTAAAGGGAATCCCAGCTCTAGTCATCCTTAAACCATGTTCCAACTCTCTGGAGTTTACTGTAAGGGGTTTCTTTTGCTCAAGAGGGGTTATAGGTTGTAGGGCTTACTACGAAGGCTCCTGTGTAGTTCCTTTGTTTTTGTTTGGGGGAGGGGGGGGGGGGGGGGGGAGGGGGGGTAGTTATAGGGGACTCGAGTCTACTGCTTGGGCCCAAGGGAGCGTAGGGCTTATAGGGCTTAAGGAGTTTATAGGGCTCAAGGCTTCAGAGGTTTGAAGGGTTTTGGCCTCGTAGAGTTGTTGAGGTTACTGTTACATGATGTGGTTTGGGGGGGGGGGGGGGTAAGTGTAGAGTGTAGGATAGGCACCAAAAATGACCCTTCATATACGGGATGTTTTCACCCGTATGAGGCCCTACTTACCCTTCATTGCAGGAAATTGCGGGAACTGTTGCCATTCCTTTTGTGCGGATAGACTGATAGATCTGCTCCCTGCTTTAGTTGCTTTAGTTGTGGGGTTTGCGGGAGTTGGGGATTGATCTGAATCAAGCAGGGGTGCGCTGCAACCATCACACGCGCGACATCCTCGCGATGGACCCTCAGTAAGGAGCAGTCTATGGTTGGAGGTTCATGGTACTTACTAACCACTTATAACAGGGATTATAACCCTACTTATAATTGGGATGACCCCTATAAGGCCCTTTAGGGGTACTATAAGTAGGGTTATAAGTACAGTTATAATTGGTTAGTAAGTACCATGAACCTCCAAGTGGTTGAGAGGGCTTCAGGTGAACATAGGAGTAGCAGCATGCTGCGATGCAAGTGAATGCCGTTCATACACCTGTAGCCCCTGCGCGCTCATGATGCATGCAGCAGCGAGAGAACAACTCTGCACAATGTAGTATGTATACATATATATATATATAATTATATGTGTGTGGGTATTCCCAGAAATAGGGTCCCCTAGTATACCCTAAAATACTATAACTTTTATTAATAAACAGAACCCCCCAAAAGGGTACGCTTATTTGCGGAACCCCCCCCCCCCCCCATATATGCTCACAGGCCTGTATAGCCACGACTGTCAAAAGCCACAACTCCACAACCATCACGTAAGGTCCGCGCTCATGGCTCAAGGCCATGCTGAAGCTGGCATCGTCGTGCCCGACGAGGAGCTTGTGCTTGCCTTGCGTCTAGGGGTTCAAGGGTTTCGGGTTTAGGGTTTGGGGTTTAGGGTTTAGGGTTTAGGGTTTAGGGTTTCGGACTCTACCTTGGAGTTTTGGGGGTTTAGGGTTTCGGACTCTACCTTGGAGTTTTGGGGGGTCCCTTTTGAGGGATCCCTAAGGGAATATAAGGGCCACACTAGGAGTGTATTGAGGGGAACCTTTGGGGGGTACAGGGGTACGAGCCTTCATCCCTTGATTGTGATCGCTCAAGACGTCAAGCTTGGAAGACGCATTGCCTTTAAACCCTAAACCCTAAACCCTAAGCCCTAGGTACCTGACTGCACATGCGCATGATATCATTGCTTGAAGCCTCAGCATCAGGTCTTATGGCGCATTGCCTTTAACCCCTAAACCCTATAAACCCTAAACCCTGAACCCTAAACCCTAAACCCTGAACCCTAAACATAAACCTTGTGATCCTTCTGAGCTTCTAGAAAGCAGCAACGAGCGAGCCCTGAAGCGCAAATCCTAAGCGCCAAACAATGAAAGCCCATACTGAATATCACTTAATAAGGGTTTAATTAGGGTTTAGAGTTTAGGGTTTAGGTTTAGGGTTTAGGGTTTAGGCTGAATGCATACGGGCAGCCGGGCTCGCCGTCCCCAAGGCCACACGCTTTGACCTCACCACTAAACCCTTGCCGCGTATAGGGTTGAGGGTTTAGGGTTTAGGGGTCTCGCGGTCTGGGGATGTACGGTGTAGGGCTTAGAGGTCTGCATAAGGGCGTTTGCCTTGATTTCAGGGTCACTTTTTCTGTCCTCCTAGCCAAGCCCTAAACCGACGAAACCGGAGTGATCACGGGCGCACATTGAAAGAGCAAACGCGCTGTGGCTTCTAGTTCCTCCAACAAGTCCTAGCAGAGCCCTTCCTTGAACACAAGTAAAGAATCATGCTCTCACAGCTCTCACAGCCTTCAGGGAGAGCCATTTTTGGTTATCATGTTTCAGCAGGAATTACGCGCATCAGCTATCTCTCCCCGTCGCCTGTTCTCACCGGAGCCGTAACCAAGCCCACGCAAACTCCTTACTGTTAGTTAACAAGGAATGAGGGAATTAGGGCCCTCTATTGATGTTAATACTCTTTAAAGGATTATATAGGGTACCTCATTCTCCCAGCCCCTGCGAATCAACAGCAAGGCAGAAGACCCAATTGGCATTGTCCAGATGCGTAAGCTGCGTGATTAGTCAAGAGGCCCACCATGGGATGGTCTTGCCAGCAAGCTCTATGCACCCTAAACCCTAAACCCCTAAACCCAAAATAAACCATAAGCCCTAAACCCGATAAACCCTAAACGCCCTAAACCCTAAACGCCCTAATAACCCTAAACCCTCTAATAACCCTAAACCCTAAACCCTAAACCCTAAACCCTAAACCCTAAAACTGCATGACGGGCTGCAATAGTGAAGGGAACACCCGAGGCCATGATGTCGGCTTCTGCTTGGAGGTGGTAGAAAGACACGAAGCCTGCAAGACCAGACCCAGGAGTAACCCAGGAAAACAGGCTTAGGGTTCAGGGTTTAGGGATTATAGGGTTTAGGGCTTAGGGTTTAGGGTTCAGGGTCAGCTGTCACCCCATGGTTTTGCAAGCCATGGCTTGTTGCAACCACTTGCAATTGGGGTTTTGGGATTTGGGTGTAGGGCGGGGCCTGCTTGAAGATTCTCAGGGGTGGTTTTGAGTAGGGCGTCATAGGTCGTGGATCCCTGACTGGGCCGTCATAGCTCAAGGATCTATGCATGCACCCTAAACCCTAAACCCTAAACCCTAAACCCTAAACCCTAAACCCTAAACCCTAAACCCTAAAACCAAAACCCTTCTTACGGCCGCTGTCTTTCGCCCAGGGAGGTTCATGTACCCATATGGCAGAGACTTAATTACTGTCGGCCTTAAATGGATTTAGGGTTTTGAGTTTAGGGATGTCGGGCTCAGGGTCGCAACTCTTTTGGGGGCCCTCAGTGTCCCCTATCTGAAGAGACCTGGGCCGCTCGGGTCATGCCCGCAACCACCCTCTGGCAGACGAAAGCTACTGGAAAACAGCTGCAACGAGGCGCCACCGTAAACTAGGGGGATTTCAACCCTGAGCCCTTGACCCTGCAAGGGTCCATGTGACTACTATCTAGCAGGCTTCGCGGGCCCCTCGTCTACAATCTCAAGGCCTTTGTCCAGCTTGTCCAAGAAGTTGTCAGGGGTAGTGGTTCCCATGGTGCTGACGTACAGCACTTGCTTGGCGGCGACGCTGCCGCCGGCGGAGGCGAAAGCCGCAACTTGTGCCTCTCTCTCAGGCAGCCGTAGGGGTTCATGGACCGATATAGTATATACTTGAACCCCCAAATTTAAAGCTACTATATTATAGGAACCCCCCTTGAAGTACTTACTGTAGAAGGGTAGGTGGAACCTTTGGAAAAAGTTAACACTTCGTGCAAACCGAAGGCATGCTTCTACATAGAACTGAGACTGCCCGTCCTTGTAGATCGGGGTCTCGGAGTCAGACTTTTGAGCTGAGTGTAGGTTCAGGGTTCAAGCCTAAAGCCTAAACCCTAAACTCTAAACCCTAAACCCTCAACCCTAAACTCTAAACCCTAAACCCAAAACGTCTCCCCGTCACCCCAGCAGTGCGGCCTGCAGCTGGGGGAGGGGATGGGGCAGCCTTTTCAAAGGTGAAATTACCCATATTCAGGGTTTAGGGTTGGCTTTTTTTCTCGTTCTCACAGGGATCAATAGTTACTCTTGTATATGTAGAGTTTAGGGTTAGGGGTTTAAGATTTCCAAGTCCAGACCTAACTGCGGCCTGATGCAGGTGTTCATCCCTTCATGCCATCCCAGGGCAAGCCTGCACAAAAGCCCTAGAGCCAAAAAAAACCTAAGCCCCTGTATTATAACCCCTTAAGACCCGAAAAGCCTCGAACGCTAAAAACCCTGAACCATCAATAATCCCTACACACGAGAGATTATGTAGGCGCCGAGACTGGAAGTCTTTGTGCTCGAGAACTGAACTGACCCTATACGGATCCATGTACAAAACACAGAATATGAGAATCCAGAAGAGAGTTTGGGGTTTCGCCCTGTTCTGCCCAGGCGGGTGCGGGGGGGGGGGGGGGGGGGGGGGGGGGCGGGTTTGGGTAAAGGCTTTGAAAAAGAATGACCCATCCAAAAATTGTTTATGCCAACTTAACAATATATAAACTACTTGTCACACAGCGGTCCAGGTTCGGGGTTCAGGTATAGGTTTTGGGTTCCGCGTCTTCGCGCGGTGCTGGTGTATAAGGATAAGGTGCCTAAACCCGAAACCCTAATCCCCAAACCCTAAACCCTTAACCCTAACCCCTAAAACCCTACACCCCTAAAGGCAACTTTGCAGATCGAGGGATTTCGGAGCTTTATAGCGGCATTGAATGATGGGACGTCCTGCCTTCGTGCCAAGCCAGTCAACAATCTTGGGCTCGCCGCCCTTAGGATAATGGCCTGAGCTTAGGTCACTTGGCAGCCCGGTGACCATATTACAATGAGGGCATACCCGTTTTTTTGGCTTGGATACTTTACAAGGGGAACTCTGAACCAAACTGGGCTACCCAGGTTATACGGTTATGCGCCACAGAGTGTTTGTTCTACTCGAAAGCTCATGGGCAGTTTTGCTGTAAGGCTACATGTACCTGGTGAGTATTGGGTTCCAAGTGCAGCTACCCTAGTTCTCCATGGACCTTGGAAAGCAGTAGTGCAGGCGTTGGTATGGACGGTTCATGGAACTCGTGGGTTGAGGGTTTAGGGTTTAGGGTTTATGGGTTTATGGGGTTTAGGGTGTGAGACATGCTTGCATGGGGTGATAGATAGCTTCACCTGCTCTTGAAGTACCACCCAACGAGAGTCGTAGTTGACCACAGGTCAGTGCTACGGAGTCCCTGAATGGTTTGGCTTTGGGTCAGGGGGGGGGGACCCCAAACCCTAAACCCCAAACCCCAAACCCCAAACCCCAAGCCCTAAACCCTAAACCCATCGGCGGCAAAGCAGCATTTCTTCATTGGAAAGGGAAGGCTTCCGCTGCAAACTGGCACGGAGGACGTCGCGATGACCAAGGTGTCGGCTCCTGCCACCGACTGGTTTGGGGTTGGGGGCTTAGGGCTTGTTGCCAGCTGCTCTTAGAGCTTGCACGGCGCCGGAATGATTGTGGCCTAATCCTAAACCTCGAACCCAATGTGCTTTGGTTGATTCGGACTTCTTCCCCTCTAAGCCCTAAACGATACCGAAACCCTAAACCGCAACTCGAAGCCGATGTCCTGTCATCACGGCTTTCATCGTCTCTGGTTCAGAGACATCGCCAACAAAGATGCCCTCAGACTCGTTGCAAGATGAGCAGCCCAGCAAATCTTTGGCTTTCGTGGCCTCAGCAGCAGGCACCCTAGCCTCCACACCCTAACCCTAAACCCTATAAACCCTATAAACCCTGAACCATGAACCCTATGAATCACCTATGAACCCCTAAAACTAAACCTTAACCCAACAACTCTAAACCATGTAAATTCCGAAGCCCCATTATAACCCTTTGAACACTGGCCTTGCCCCAGCCTTTCGGACTTTTCGAGTATGGGACGACATGAGCCCTAAAAAGGGTTTATGGCTCTAGAGCGTATAAGACTCCAATTTTAGGGATCATGTGGTCCCCAAGGGACAGGTACACTGAAATCCCTTCTGCTCCTGAAGCTGCTACGGGCCCTTCTTCGGACGGGCCGCGTTCCGCACGAAGGCTCGGACTTCGTACTTCCCCGAGGCCTGCAAAAGCGCGTTTCGGGATTTGGGCCTGCGGGGCGTTTGGTATCTTCGGGGCTTCTACAGGGTGGGGCCCCCTTACTATACTAACTGTAGTTAAGGGACTTATAACCTAACTTAGGGTCCTTATAACCCAATTTAGGGCCCTTATAACTCTACTTATAACTAGGGGGCCCCTTCCAGGTTTGCAGGCATCCACTAGACGATCTCTGTTCAAGAGCGCTTGCAAACCAGGTTCAGCCTTGTGCCTCATCCATAGTTGCTGAGTACCCTAGGCCAAAGAAGGCTAACCTTTCAACTACCCCTAAACCCTAAACCCTAAACCCTAAACCCTAAACTGTGGCGGTCTGAGTATGTATAACCCGAAAAGGGTAGAGGTTGCCTACTCAGCTACTAATCTGTTGTGTTTGGCGCTTTGCAAGCTACTGAAGCTCACTGGACAGCCTGCTTCTGAAGGGCCCGGCCCGTGAAGCCCCCTACTTAGCGACCTACACCCTAAACTCCCAAACCCTAAACCCTTAACCGCACTTGGGAGATTCCCAGGAATACCCAAATACGCCCCAAATGCTATAACCCTGATTCTAGGACCTTCATTAGATTAGGAACCCATGAGCAGGCGACCACTCTTTGGAGAAATGCCCATTTACTACCCTAGACCTGAACAGAACCCAAAACCTACTTCAATTCGCAGTCCTGCATGAACATAAAGGGCACGGGGCTTTGGACCTTGACCCAAAATGCAGGGCTCGCCCTAAGGCACTAGTATCTTAGGAAACCTACAAAAAAGTAGGTTTTGGGTTCTTCAGGTAAAGCCTAAATACCACTGAGAGCAAGGGTGGTCGAAACCCTGCTGTGGCGGTCGCCTGGACTTCGGGTTTCGGGTCTAGGGTTTTTAGGGTTTAGGTTTTTTAGGGTAAGTTTAGGGTTTTTAGGGTTTAGGGCGTTTAGGTTTTAGGGTTTTTAGGGTTTTTAGTTTTTTTTTTTGGGTTTAGGGTGCAGGGTTTAGGGTTTGGTCCAATGTTTAGTGTTTAAACCCCCTAACCCAAATGGTCCATGTACCTATATGGCAGATACTTGGGCCTCAAAGAGGTTCCGTATATAGTAGCTTTGTACCATATAGGCACATGGAGCTTTAGGGCCCAAGTATGTACCATACAGGTAAATGGACCCTGAGGGTAAACAGCCGGCCTTCAGGTCCTTGTAAACCAGGAGCCCGGTCCGCCCTGTCGCACCGCTCACCACCACCGTGGGTCTGGTAGCCAGCGCCTGCCTTGCTTTGGGGCCTTTAGGGGTGCTGGTTTAGGGTTTAGGGTTTAGGGTTTGGGGTTTGGGGTTTAGGGTTAAGGGGTTTAAGGCTTAGGGTTAAGGGGGTTAAGGATGGCAGAGGCGCCCCCTACTGATGCTGGTTGCGAAACTGAAAATGCCTTGCTGTCGCCTTCCGCGAGCCCTGCAGCATTCTTGAATGCCAAGCCACTGCAGGAACAGCCCGGCAATCAGACACGCCAGCCCTCGCATGGTGTCTGAGGTATTGCAGCAAGGATCACAAGGGAAAAGGGTGAAGTGATGCTTGAGCCAACGCTCAGCTGCAACCTGCCAGGATGTGGCAACAAACTGTAAACACGACCCCCCCCCCCAGGTCCATGTACCTATATTGGTATATACTTAAAACTTAAACCGTAAACCCTAAGCTACTAAATAAGAACCCCTTTAAACCCCAAGTACCCACGAGAAGGGTACGTGGACCCTTTTGGAACTGGAGGTCATCAACGAAACGCTGTGATTGGGTCCGAACCTGTCCGGTGGCCACAAGCATGATCAGCGGAATGACCTGAGAATGAGAAGCGCTGCGGTCGCAAACTGAGCAATGTTGAGTGCCCTTGTGGCACTAAACCCTAAGCCCTCAACCCCACCCTAAACCCTAAACCCTAAACCCTAAGCCCTCAACCCCAAAAAAGAAACCCGCACCATCCTCGGCCCTTTGCCCACTTCCGAAACGCAACTGCATGAAGCCTTGCTGCCTCGATAGGGTCGAGGGGCCCTGGGACCAAAAGAACCCTAAAATTGTGGTCATACATCCTATACTTCGATATTTCCCATGATGGTATGTGAACTATAAACCCTTTTAGGGTTCGTCTGGCCCGAAGGGAATTAAGTTGCAACAGCCTTTCGGGACAAGGTGCACCCTGAAGTTTGGAACTGGGGCAGTGGGGTTGCTTACTAGCTGGCTGCTAGTCTTTTGCCCTCCTGAGCCTCAGCAAATGACCTCGTAGTGAACATACCAGCCGGAAAGGCACCAACTTACCGCAGCTGGCATGAAAATCCCACATTGAACCCTCGATCCTTATAGGGTCCATGTACCTGCATACCCAAAGGATCAACCCAAAGGGTCAATGTAGCTGTACAGTAGGTACTTGAGCCTTAAGGGTGTCCTCTATAGTAGCTTTAGGGCCAAGTATATACCACATACGCATATGGAACCTTAGGGATAGTGTATACTTGGGACCTAAGTCTAGATTATCAGACTGCCTCCATAGGCCCAAGTATCCAAAACCCGAAACACTAACCCTCTGGGTACGTGGACCCTTTGGGTAGACCCGTAAGCCCGCAGATTAATAGGTTTTAGAAAGGAACCTAGGGTTTAGGGTTTAGGGCTACAAGGGCTCACTATGGGTCCTGCAAGGAGATTTGGCGGCCCAGCTGGCTTGGTCAAGATGAGGAGTAGGTCGAACTGCATCGCGCTGGCAGCCGCCTGATGCCATTCGGTTTAGGGTTTAGGGTTTAGGGTTTAGGGTTTAGGGTTTAGGGTTTAGGGTTTAGGGTTTAGGGTTTAGGGTTTAGGGTTTAGGGTTTAGGGGTTAGGGGTTAGGGGTTAGGCCCAGGAGTAACCTGGGAATAAAAAGGGTGGCTCTTTTTGGTTTAAAGGATAACGGAACCTAGACCTTAAAAAAGGGAATAAGGGCCTATACCCCGGGTCCTAGACGTTTGCTTTAAGGCCTGACAGCCCCAAACACACCTTCAGCCAAAGCCGAAAACCCCAAACAGGAAAACACAAAAGCAGTCAAACCCTCCCAAACACGCCAACCATCTGGGATGTGGGTGCATGGAATTCCGGTTTGGGGTTAGGGTTTAGGGTTTAGGGTTTAGGGTTTACGGTTTAGGGTTTAGGGTTTAGGGTTTAGGGTGGTTTAGGGTTAAAATGCTGGAGCTGCGTTGAACTACGTATGACTACCTATGACCCAGCGCCACACCTTCGCTGCTGCAGGGCTCTCTCTTCGGATGCAGCATGTCCTAAACCCTAAACCCTAAACCCGAAACCCTAAACCCTAAAACCCCATTCTATGGGGCAGCTCGACGCAGGAGTAACTTAGGAATAAGAAGTGTGCCCCTTTTTGGTTTAAAGGGGTTATAGGGGAACCCACACCCTAACAAAAAGGGAATCAGGGCCTACTCCGGGTCACAGGCAGACACGGGGCGCTTAGGGTCTCAGACTTGAGGTTTAGCGTTTAGCGTTTAGGGTTTAGGGTTTAGGGTTTAGGGTTTAGGGTTTAGGGTGTAAGGTTTAGGGTTTAGGGTTTAGGGTTTTAAAGTTCTGGGTTGTTGGGAGTCTGTACACCCTCGGACCTAATAACAGCATGAAACCCGAAAAAGTCTCAAGCCGCCCACCCTCAACCGGAACCCGTATTATCTAAACCCCTGAACCCCCCAAACCCCCCAACTCATCAACCACAACGCCTGAACCTTCAACCCCCAAATTCCTGTACACCCCACCCACCCCCCACCCCCCAAACCCCAAATCCCAAACCCCAAACCCCAACCCAAACCCCAACCCAAACCCCAAACCCCAAACCCTAAACTTAAACACCCACCCCCCCCCCCCCCCCTCTCGCAACCCCACAGCACTCGGCCAGGCCTGCCGCGCTTTGACCTGCTCCTTGTGAGTCCAGGTCACAATCTTCCATAGCCCTGGACACAGCCAATGTTCTTCGGGATTCGGATTTCAAAACAAACTAGGTTTGGGGTTTAGGGTTTAGGGTTTTGGGTTTGGGGTTTGGGGTGTGGGGTGTGGGGGGTGAGGTTTAGGTTTTCGGGTTTCAGGTTTAGGGTCAAGGGTTTAGGCGTCAGGGTTTAGGGGGCTTTAGGGGGCGGCTTCTACCGCAAAAATGGAAGTAGCATGCTTGTAGCAGTCAAGGCTGAGATGATGCATTGTTGGAGGCCTTGAGGGGCTTATCCCTAAACCCTAAACCCTAAACCCTAAACCCTAAACCCTAAACCCTACACCGGTTCCGGGTTTTCGGGGCTTGAGAGGTTGGATCCTAAACCCTACGCACTAAACCGAGCGCCCTGGCAGGGCCCAAAAGCTGCCTTCAAGCGGGCTTGGGCATCTTCGCAGCTGCTTGGGGTGATCCATAAAAAGGGTTTAGGGTTTAGGGTTTTGGGTTTAAGTTTAGGTTTAGGGTTTAGGGTTTAGGGTTTAGGGTTTAGGGCTTGGGGTTTAGGTGCGTGAGGTGGCTTATGGCATGTTGAATGAGGGATTAGACCGGGATTTACATTGACCCTCGGAAGTACTTAGGCTGCTGCAATCCTTATAAGCAAACTGGACCTAGCCACCAAAAAATAGTTTTAACAAAGCGCACAAAACTAACCCCTCTAACACGAACAAACAGGACCAAAGATGCGCCAAAGTGGATGCCACTACTCGAAAGCTGGCTTACAGCCAGATGCGCAAATGACTCGCACGAAAGATGTTTACGAACCGGGTGTCGTAAGTGCAACGGAATAGCTAGATATGCTAAACCCTAAACCCTAAACCCTAATCCCTAGACGGCAGGCCCTAGAAGTCGGTGTGCCTTCTGGCATGGGCTTCGGCTTGAGCTGGCCATTTGCCGTCACTGGTGCCCCAGAGCTGTCGTCCGTGGCATTGACCTGTTGCTGCTGAGAGTTTACGTGAGTAAAGCCCTTACGCCCCCTAAACCCTAAACCCCCTAAACCCCAAACACTAAACCCTAAACCCAGCTGGCTGGATTCGAGTTTGGGTTTTTACGTTCAAAAAATCGAGGGCTTGGCTCAGGTTCTTCAAGTAGAGAATCAGGGCAGGGGTGCACTTGTGGAGCACAAGCCCGTAAAGAAGCCCACTGGTTAAAGGATTCTTGTTGGTGCTCCTGTCAATTTGTAGACAATCGGAGATGTAGAGCTGTTTTTGTTCAGAAGTATATATAATATATATAGTATATATAGTATATATAGTATATATAGTATATATAGTATATATAGTATATATAGTATATATAGTATATATAGTATATATAGTATATATAGTATATATACTGTTCATGTGAAACCGACATGCCCATCACATGTCTCAGCAGCTTGCTGCACTTAGCAAGCTCTTCTTCACGCAAACTGCCAAAGGCAGCCATTTGGGACTCTTGCAGGGCGACCCCAAAACCTAAACCCCAAAACTTCGAGCACTCAGGCCTTATGTCCCTATATGTCAGTGGCCAAACCTCAAAGAACCCACGTCCCAAACCCTGCCCCCATGGCCCAGCCGTGCCTCTTCGTTGACCACCTCCTTGTTGCGTGCCTCCTTCTCCTGTGCCCGCAGACATGACAGGCCCGCGCCACCAAGCCGTGAAGATTCGTTCGGTTTCGGCGTTTACCTAGATAGGGTAGCCTGGGTGTGGGCCTTGTATCTACCAATCCCTAAGCCCTAAACCCTAAACCCTAAACCCTGCACCCTGAACCCTACGCTCTAAATTCCTACCCTTGACTCAAGAGTGGTTCGTGCTGTTTCTACACCCTCAGCCCGAGGGTTAGGCACCCCCAGAAAAAAAAGAAGAGAGAAACCTCATGCACGTACACACATTCTAATACATACATATGTATATATATATATATGCCTTCCTTCTTAATCCTAGTCACCCCCCTGCCCGGCCCCAACAAAAAAATGTCTGACGCTGGGTCCTCACCCGCATCTTTCTTCTTCCGCTGTCGAAGACGCTGCCGGTCCTTGTTTAAGTCAGGGTCCCTGTTTTGGGCACAAGTTGAACTAGTACGGGGTTTTAGGGCTTATAAGGGTTTGAGGACTTATAAACGAAGGAGTTTCTGTTTCAGTGTTCTGGGCTTTAGGGGAGGGTTAGGGTTTTAAGTTTCAGTGTTTATGGTTGACGGCACGTGCTCTATCTATAAGGCTCGTCTTAGCCTGGGCCTAAACCCTAAACCCTGAATCCTGAAACCTGAATTGCACCCTTTGAAAAAGGACCCTGGCGTAGTACCGCGTTGCTGCGGGTAGGGGCTGTAATTAGCGTCTGAGTTCAGGGTTTGGGTTGGGCTTCAGGGCTTTCAGAGTTTTAGGCTTTTTCAGGGTTTGGGGTCTTGGGGGGTTTTGGGGTCTTGGGCTTTTGGGCTTTTTGGGGGTTTTGGGCTTTTGGGTTTTTGTTGTGGGGTTTTGGGCTGGTGTTGAGGGTGTCTCAGGGTAGGGCTTCGGGCTCAGGGTACAAGGCTGCAAGGAGCCTCTCCACCCCAACCACCCTTGAAAACACAAGCCTTCAGCCATTTCAGGAAGCATGAGCCCCCCCCCCCCCCCCGCCCAAAAAAAAAAAAAGCAAAACAAAACAAATCACGGCTTCAGTCAAGGATGCCAGAGGTTCCGAGGTTTACCCTAAACCGTAAACCCTAAACCATCCTAAGCCCTAAACCCTGAACCCTAAACGCTCTAGGGCTCTTCAACCCCCCCGAGGGCCTGGTCGCTCTCCAGCTTGATGTTGGCCGTGCTCGGTTGCTGGGGCTCTGCCTTTTTACCATCGCCTGCATGCAGCTTGGGCAAGGCTTGGGGCTTATGGGTTTTGGGTCTAGGGTCTATGGGTTTAGGGCTTAGGGCTTAGGGTTTAGGGTTTGGGGTGTAGGGGTTTAGGGGGGTTTTATGGTTTCGGGGTTTTTGGGGGTGTAGGGCTTAAAGGTAAATTCGGCAAGCCCGACCCAGACAAAGCACATTCAACCCCGAAGCCCTCCTCGATCCGCAGCAGCTTTGTGACTGTGTAGACACACTCCCGGAGAGAACAAGCTAATACCAAGCAAAGACCCGAAACCCTAAACCCTAAACCCTGAACCCTAAACCCCGAACCCTAAACCCTAAACCCTAAACCCCGAACCCTAAACCCCGAACCCTTAACCCTGAAGCTCGCCCCAGGGATTCTAGGATTCTTGAACTCCACACTTGAAAGTCCACTGCGTCGGCCCAGGTGTCTGCTTTGTCTGTTGAGATTCGGGGGGCTTGCATGAATAGGGCTTGCGGCTGAGGGCTCGGGGCCAAAAGCGTCGCACCCTCGACCCTCAACCATAAACCTAGGGTCTTGGCTTTTTGCACTTAATAGTTGGGATCTCGAAAACTGTGCTCAAAAGTTGGGTTCAGGGCTCCCTTTTGGAATGTAGGCTTCCAGGACCGCTAGGAGATGATCTGGAGACCCATAGAAACCATGCACCTATATAGTAGGGTTTAAGGTGTTAGGGTTTATGTACATCAAGGGGGTTCCTATATGTAGTAGCTGAAAGGTCCACGTATAGCCCTAAACCCTAAACCCTAAACCCTAAACCCTAAACCCCAAAATACCGCAGAGGTACCTCTGGACCCTTTCGGAGACGTATGCATCCGGCCTGATGCAGGGGGGTCGTCCGACTTCTTGTTCTGGCTCTCCTCTTGCCTGGCTGGGGGCTTCATGTGGTTTACATGAGAACCCTAAACCCTAAACCCCAAACCCTAAACCCTAAACCCTAGACCCTAAACCCTAAACCCCAAACCGCAAAAGAAGGCGCTGGTGGGGATCGTGGGTAGTCAGAATTGAGGAGTTGGCTTGTGCGGGCCATGGAGCTACGTGGAACTTTTTCACCAATTCTAACAGTACCGTCACCGCACATATAACCACATAAGGGCACGCACGACAAATTTGGGGAACATCCCTAAACCCTAAACCCTAAACCCTAAACCCTAAACCCTAAACCCTAAACCCTAAACCCTAAACCCTAAACCCTAAACCCTAAACCCTATAACCCTAAACCCTAAACCGCAAGGCCCCTCCATGTCCCGGCCTGTCTTCCACCCGAAGCGACTGCAGGAAAACGAAGATTCGAATCTGGCGGATCACGGCTTCAGCATCTTTCTATAGGAATGCGCTTTTTTGGCACTCTGAAAAATATTCCTAAATATGATCCTCTTAAACCCAATAAAGGAAAATAGAAAATGTCCCAAAAAACCTACCTAGTTTTTGCTTTCGAGGAGCTTACTGTGTCTGACATGTGGCGGCGCACCCGCAACAGATTCTTTGGGGCAGGGCGAACAGCAACTCTACCGATTGAGCTTTGCTTTGCAGATTGGGAATTCGCGGCTTTGGATTCAGAGTAGGGGGGTTAGGGGTTAGGGGTTAGCGTTTAGGGTTTAGGGTTTAGGGTTTAGGGTTTAGGGTTTAGGGTTTAGGGTTTAGGGCTTTTCATACAATTATAGAGAGCACGTGACGCATGACGCCCGCGTCCTAGAGCCCGACAGTGCTTTGCAGAGGGAAAGCCAAAGGCTTGATTGAAGCCCCCACCCCAGGTACCCCTTAGCAAGAGCCACAAAACCCTAGTCTCTAAACCCTAAACCCTTCTTTGGGGTGCATCCTAAACGCTAAACCCTACACCCTGAACCCCCAAAAGTGTTTTGAAGGCGTTCTTGGGCTCCGACGTAGGCTTTAAGGTACTTGAAACTTCTTGGCAGGCTGCGGATTCGCGGCCTCTCGATGCCTAAACTACCCTAAGCCCGGCACACCCCTGAGTGCCACACGAAAGGCAGGAAGAAGAAGTTGACGACCGTCGGAATCTTGGCTGTGGTGTGGCTTAGTACCCCAAACCTCCTAAATCCTAAACCCTAAACCCTAAACCCTATACCCTAAACCCTAAACCCCTAAAGCCCTAAACCCTAAAACCTGGCTTAGGGGTTTGGGGTGCAAGGTTAGGACATCCTGGAGCCTCTAAGAACTTAAAACCTACCTTCTAGAGCCGCCCAGTACTTCAACCCAAGATGCCCCCAAGCCACCATTAAGGCTTATAGGGTTTAAGGTTTAGGGGGTTATGGGCTGAGGGGATTTAGGGTTTAAGGTTTAGGGTTTCGGGAGGAAGGCCTGTGGGTTCAGGGCCTATGGCTGTAGCGCTTCCGGGCAACTTCCCAAAGCCCTTGTTTAAAGGCAACTTCCCAAAGTAACTATGGTAGGATCTCCAAATTGCAGTTGAGGGATCTTCCCTGGGCTTTTGGAAGCCACCCGTGACCTACAACAAGGGGCATTTCTAGCAAAACCCGAAGTTTGCCCGACGATAAGCACAGATGCTTGGTTCAGGGTCTAGGGTTTAGGGTGTGGGGTTTAGGGTTTAGGGGCCTTTGTGTTGAAATGAGCCCCTGCAGCCCACCGAGACCCAGGCGGGTCCAATGATCACGGTGGTGATGAAACCCAGGACAAATCTCAGGATGCCCATGCGCCACAGGTACCTCGCGGCTTAGGGTTTAGGGTTTGGGGTTTGTGGTTTATAGGGTTTAGGGTAGGTCTACGAGAGATGGCAGTGCTGAACTAGGATGCCCAATCTGGGTCCCCGCTATGATGTGCTCCTTATAGAGTCTAGGATTTAGGGTCTTTGGGTACATGTTCGTGAGCCGAGCCCTGGACAGGTACATGATCTCGTTGCCCCGCAGCCACTGATTGACGGCAAGCCAATTACCCTAAGGGTCCATGTACCTACATACTATATACTTGGGCCTTAAAGCTACTTTTATGCGAATCCCTTTAAGACCCAAGTAATTAATCGCTCCCCCCTTGGCACCCTAACCATGTTGCTTAGACTGGTTGCTACGGGATCCTTTCCCTATGGAGGGCCCTATAAACCCTAAACCCTTGATCCGAAACCATTTTGGGGAGCTGCGACTGTCATCGGAGGTGCTTTATTACCATAACTACTATCATCATCATCATCATCATCATCATTATTATTATTACAGTTAATATTCCTATCATTGTGGTTTAGAGGTTTGCCACTTTCATTTCAGTCTGCTTGGCGGCCTGGCGGTATGCTGTTGCAAGTTCGCGGCTCTACTGCCGAGCTGCCCCAAACGTAGCAGTTTCGATGGCCAAACATACCCACAACATCTCACACACCGACCCCCCCCCCCCCAACCCGGAGAGGTTGAAGGGTCTCCGCTAAACCCTAAGCCCTAAACCCCAAACCCCAAAACCCTAGGCCTAGACCCTAAACCTCCGTCTGTTCGCATGAAGGGCGCACCCGCCGAACTGCCGGAGGAGCTTGTACACCTGAGAGGCATCACGACATTTAGGGTTTAGGGCTTTAGGGTTTTAGGGTTTTAGGGTTTAGGGGTTAAGGCCCCTTTAAGGGAACCTACACCCCAAGAAACGGGAATAAGGGTACTACTGGGCATCTTAGATAGGCAGGGTTTGCAGTTTGAGGGTGTTGTTTGTGTGTAGTTTTTGGGGTTTAGGGTAGACTGTTGGGCTGTAAGCTTATTCGTAGGGCCTTTCTTGCAATGAGAGGGTTTGCTGTAGTGTTTTCGGGCTTGGCATTTAGGGTTTGACTCAAGTTCTAGAATCTGGAGATGTATTGGGGCTAGGGTTCTAGGCTTCATGCGTGTTAGAGTTGAAGGATCTGAGGATGGGGATTGGGCTTAGGGGTTTCATTACGGTAATATTATATGCGCCCGCGCTTGCCCGACCCTGAACCCTTTAACCCACCACGAACCACAGGGGGAGGGAGAGCGGAAAGCCTCAACCATGAACCGATGAAGCCCTCAACCGAACCTCGAACCCTGAACCCGCAATCCCAAACCCATGAATCAAGGCAGAGTGACAACCCTAAACCCACAATGAACCTCCAATCACCCTAAACCCTTTAGCCTAAACCCTAAACCCTGAACCATCAGGGGGGAAGGGATACCCTGGGGGTGGGCGGGGGTACCCCTCCTGGCTGTGCGTAGTGTGGCGGCTCCATCCCCCAATTCTGGAACCCTAAACCCTAAACCCTAAACCCTAAACCCTAAACCCTAAACCCTACACCCTAAACCCTAAACCCTAGGTCCGGGCATCCTCAAGGTTCCCCGGGTTTAGGGTTTATAGGGTTTAGGAGTTTGGGGTTTGGGGTTTAGGGTTTAGGTTGGGTGGGAGGGCGCCGGCGCCCTCCTGCGGCTCAGAAAACTTATTGCTGGCTTGCAGGGAATGAGGAAATCAGGCGCCCCTGTATATCCCCTTTAAGGGATTCTACGGGGTACCTCACTGTCACCATGCAGCAAAAGGAACTGTAAGGGGGAAGGTGCCCAAGTTTAGGGTTTAGGGGTTCAGGGTTTAGGGTCTTAAGGGTAGCTATATGGGCCCTTAATAAGGTCCTTTACCTCCTTTAAAGGGTTCCGAAGCATGGGCCCTTGGTTCGTACAGGGTAAAGAGGGATATGTGAGGGGTCCCCTTTGAAGGAACCACACTAAGGGACCATTGGCAGCTGGCCGTTAAGATACCACCCTGGGTCAACGTGGCGGGCTTCTGAGGGGTGCTTATCAACAAGACAGCACAGCATCCCAAAGACACCGGTGCTTGCGGAAACGGTGAACGACAAGGAACACGGAACTTCCCTTTCGGTAGTCTGAGGCTCACGCGAAACTGAGCCACAGGAGTGCAAGTAGGGTATTGATGATCCCTGCTTCGAACGTGATGATCGCCCTCGGCAAGGCTTCGGAATTTGGGGAGGGGTGGAAGACTGTTCTAGACTTCTAAGTCAAGGGGCACTTTGCTGGGACTGCTATTATGTACAAGGTATATGAAACGCGTCACACATTGAGAACGGCCCCTCACTTCAAGTTTTGGAGCCCAGGGGTGCTGAGCTTCGGGATTTTGAGCCTGAGCTGGCTACGCAAGGCAACGACGTCCCCGTAAACCCACACCAAAGGGCATGGCCCTAAATCCTAAACCCTACACCCTAAACCCTAAACCCTAACCCCAAACACTTCGCCCTGGTGCCTACACCTTGATGCCGCTTGCACTCCAAGATATCCCCAAGGATTCTGCTCAGCGCGCGCCCAATACTTGAAAGGAAGCCCGAACCCGATGACACGCAAACCCTAAACCCTTAACGCCCTAAACCCTAAACCCTAAACCCTGAACCCGAAACCCCTAAACCCCTAAGCTCAGGAAGGCTTCCGGGGCGCAGGGTTTGGGTTCTGAAGATTTGGATTTGGATTTATGGTTAAGGGCTTGTGTCTGAGAATTTAGGATTTAGGGCAATGACGGTAGGGCGTGGGGTTCGAGGGTTTAGGGTTTAGGGTTTAGGGTTTAGGGTTTAGGGGGGTGTGAGGGTAGGGTCTGGATTCTCAGGATTTCGGGATTAGGGTGTAGGGTAGTTTGGGGTCCGAGGGTTTAGGGTTTAGGGTTTAGGGGAATGGAGTAGGGCTTGGGGCTTAGGAATCTCGGCGTCTGGAGGTGCTTTTCGAGTTCCAAGATTTGGGGCTGGAGCAGAACAGGGGGTTTAGCTTAAAATCAAGGGTTTAGGGTTTAGGGTTTAGGGTTTAGGGTTTAGGGTTTAGGCTTACCTGGGACTCCAGTGTAGTAGTAACTACCCCTTACGCAGTAGGGTATAACCCATTAAGCTGCAGGTAAATAAAGGGCTTAGGGTCTAAGGTTTATAAGGTTCTTAAGGGAAGGGGGATTCATGGGGGGTAGGTAGTAGGCAGGAAGGGAAACTCACTCCGCGGTCGGCTCCAATCAAATCCGTCGCTGCCGGCCACCTCCTCAGGGCAACCTGAACCCTAAACCCTAAACCCTAAACCCTAAACCCTAAACCCTAAACCCTAACCCTAACCCTAAACCCTAAACCCTAAACCCTAAACCACAGCAAGTTTCACCTCGGCATTGTCTCCCAGGAAAAGCTGATGTGCACCAAGCTCCCCTGCGACACGCAGGCGCTGTTGTCCCCGAGTGCCACGCCAGGCAGGTGCTCGCCAGACGCATCCACTAAGTCGAACTGAACATTTAGGGTTTAGGGTTTAGGGTTTAGGGTTTAGGGTTTAGGGTTGGAAAACCATCACTTCCGACACGCTCTGCACGACCCTTAGGGC